CTCTAGGGTTTCTCTCTCTGGACTGGTAGCCGCAAATGAGGGCTATAAGGACCCTTAAATAGGGCACATACCCAAAGATTTAGAGTTTCTGCCGCCAGCACGGACTCGTCGAGTCACCCTGCCGACTCGTCGAGTCCATTCATTAATCCAGTCAGCAAATCGCGATCCTACTCGACGAGTCTAGGCGTCGACTCGTCGAGTCCTTCTCTCAAACTCAAAATAAATGAATAACATAGAATACCTGAGAATCCGGATGTTACAACCACTCCACTTCAAATTACCTGAAATAGACAACAAAACATGAGTAGTACTAGAAATCTTACGAAATACATGAGTTGAACATTATTTAAACTAATGCACATGAAAAAACATAAAATATGATGCAAAATGCTAATAAAGACTAGTATAAACGATGCATAAAATGACATTTATCACACCCCGAATATCTCCAAGGTGCAACCACGGAAAACGCTCGAACCAGAAACCTTGTGTTTGTTGGCAATTGAAACTCGCAACGAACACTCCAAAAAAGTCAGATCATCAAAGAAGAAGTCGAAAAGCTCCTTAAAACATGAATGATCAAGGAAGTCAGGTTCACAAGATGTCTCACCAACATATCCTTCCATATAAATAGATCAATAAATTTATGCTCGTGACAAACAAAACTATTATTTTAATAATATAGGGAGACGAAGATATATCTTGAGGTTTCTATTGTTTTTGAGTGTTTTACATGTTTAATTTTGAAATAAAGATTTTCGCTATTTTTTTTTATTAAATCAAAAATATCATAACCTTATAGGTTTCAAGATTAACGAATTAACTTCTAAAAAACAATGTATTTTTAAATGTTTAAGCTTTCATAATACGTATTTACGTTCCTTTTACCTTCGTATATTCAATTAACATGGTGAATACTAAATTTAAATATTCAATTAAGAACCTCAAGCGAAACATTGATGAAAGAACCGCACACGGATAGCGATCCGTGTCATTTGTTTCTTGGCCGTCCGATTCCACTTTGATCCAACAGCTCAACTCATCTCGACAAAAACACCTCAACCTCCCCAAAATTGAACGAATCCCGCCACCTGAAAATTTCTTCAATAAAAACCTAGCGAACTGCCGTCCCATATCATAATTCACCACCAACGAAATCTCTCAAAAACATTCATACCTCAAAAAACCTCCTCCCTCTACTTTGCTACAGATGGCTCGTACTAAGCAAACTGCAAGGAAATCAACCGGAGGAAAGGCTCCTAGGAAGCAGCTGGCAACCAAAGCCGCAAGGAAGTCGGCTCCGGCAACTGGAGGAGTGAAGAAGCCCCATAGGTTCAGGCCCGGAACCGTCGCTCTCAGGGAAATCAGGAAGTACCAGAAGAGTACTGAATTGTTGATCAGGAAGCTTCCATTTCAGAGACTAGTGAGGGAAATCGCTCAGGATTTCAAAACAGATCTCCGTTTCCAGAGCTCCGCCGTCGCGGCTCTCCAGGAGGCGGCAGAAGCTTACTTGGTTGGACTCTTCGAAGACACTAACCTTTGTGCGATTCATGCCAAGAGAGTCACTATCATGCCTAAGGATATTCAGCTCGCTCGTAGGATTCGTGGTGAAAGAGCTTAGGGTGTAAGGGTTTCAGTTTTATCAACACATTGAATGGTTACCTTATTGTGATAACCAGTAGGTGTTTTATCCTTAGTTTCGTAAATTTGGATTGTTTTTAGGATTCGGTATCTTAAATGATAGTTTTCGTTTATGTTGAACAAAAGATGTCATCGCTTTAATCTAAATTTCTAATGGAATTTGATATCTTGCATCTTAATGTTTGTTTAATCTGATATGAATACGCATATCAAATATCTTCTTATTTTTGCTTGTAATGTTTAAAATTTTGATGTTTTTATGTCTGATTAATGAATTAGATCCAACTGAAGGGTCAAACGTTTAAATCTTATACCCAAAAACTAATTGATCAAAGCACACAATTTCGTAGCAATCCTGTAAGTAAGAATAAATCGAGTGATCTGTTTAGATAGTTTGTGTAGTATTCTCATGACATTAATTATTCACTCGAAAGCCTTATTTTCCTATGATTAGCTACGTGCTATAATCTTAATAGTGTGTTAATCGCTAGTTTCATAGCTTAGAAGAGTTGTGATCTATATATCAAAAAAATTGGTATTACGCTCGTTTGGGTTGGAGGGTTGAATATGTACAAAAAGACTTCAAAGGAATTACCAAAGCTCAACAAATTGAGCATATAACTTGTAGGAGCTTTTATAATCCCTTTATTTTACATCTTATTTTTGGATGAACCCGTGGAGAAGTGATGCATTTAGACCTATCGGTACACACACAATACCTTACACCGCGGTATGTGATGTGTCACGATGTTGTGCGGTGCACATGACACCGACCTCCTCGGTTGAACTTGAACCGCTGTAAGCATACTACAAGATGTTTTCACTACAACTTCTAGTTCATTTCTTTTTTGCTTTTGGCAAACGGCTAGAAATTTGATTTTTATTTTTCTATTAATTTTCAATAAACACTATATACAACTATGTATATGATATTTCATACACAAACACTTCAATTTATACAAAATTTCAATCCTCTGCGATCAAAAAACGAATTCAAACAACTCAATTACCGTTCGTAACAAATAGTGTACAAATGTTTGTTGTTGGAGCCTTCAGTTACCCGCTCAATATATATGCATCACAGGTATCAAGACTTAAGCTAGTAGAACTTGATTAGGACTACTAGCTTAGGATGCTGAGTTATTAAGAGACAACCTGCAATAGTATTCAAGACCATCAGGTCTTTACGCTATAACTTATGTATTTGTATTGATTATAACATCCTTAGGGTTTTAACATTTTGGAAACAAACATTTGAAATCAAAATGATCTTTTGTATTGGGATTTTCCGCAAAAATAAATAAGTGATTTTAAAAGCGTACATTTTTTTAATTGGTTATGAAAATTAAAGGATGTTACATAAGGGGTTTTGTTTTTCCAACGGAAGGAGGATGGTAGCGTAGGCACCTCCGGTGGTCGGAAGACAGTGGTGTTTGGAAGGGTTTGATGACAGAGGGAATACAATTCGAATGGTGTGTGCAAATCCGAAAATGATGGCGATTTGCTATACTCCGACGACGAAGGGCGGTTGCGCATGTTGGTAACTGGCCAAAGGGGTGGTGGTTGCTTCATGGCAGATTGTAGTGGTGGTGATGTAACATCCGGATCCTTGGATGTATTTAAATTTGACATATTTTGGATTTTGAGTGGTGCCACGTCGTGGTGGAGGCACCCCACAACGTGGTAATGGTCGATGTACCGTGGGTTTTAAATGACCGCCACAACGTGACATCTTGTGGCCACGACGTGGTAGCTGTTTAATGAGAAACCCTATTTTTCCGGGTTTACTCCCTATTTAAAGGAATGGGGAGGCTAGGGTTTGCTCATCCCAACCTCTATCAACCCTCTGAAACCCTAAAGAAAACCCTAATCACTTTCCTCCATTATTGAGTTAGTTTGGTGTTCTTTGAAGCTAAAGAAGGAAGAAGCATGAAGAAGGAAGCATAGATCAAGCAAGCAAGTCTCTATTTTTCACCTTAGCACTCTTCTGGACCTTTGTAAGTGTCCAAGACTCGATTTTTATCATGCTAGGTTGTTAGATCTTGAGTTTTGGCCCATAAACTTCTTGTTCTGGCTTGTTGGGTGATATGTGCATAATTAATCATATATTTTGTGTTAAATCTTAATACGCTTTGGCTATTTTATTGCAAATTATGAACAAAAGGTACTTAAATATGTTTAAAATGTATTTGTAGCCTAAAAGATGAGCTCGGAAGCAAAAGGAAGCAGAAAAAGCGATAGGAAGCTCGGGAATTGAAGAAAGAAGAAAGAAAGAAAAAAAAACCCTGAAGAACTCGGCGAGTTGGGTGCCTACTCGCCGAGTAGGTTCAAAGATTCGCGAACAAATAAGATTCCTTGCCGCATACAGATTTTAAGTGGGGGACTCGCCGAGTCGGTCTATGGACTCGACGAGTAGCCCCTGTTTTCAGAAACTATATAAAGGGCTTTAATTCACGAATTTGGGACTTCTCTCTGGAACCCTTGAAGGTTAATTTGTGATTCAAGTTGTTGCTGGAGCTTTGGAACTTGAAGATCAAGTCTAAGCATTCGATTTTGGGGAGATCAAGGCAATTCAAGTGTACTCTTTACTTAATCTTTTGTTTAAACTATGTTTGCATCAATTGATTTCGTTTTTGAGTTGTTTTCTGCTTTAATTATGAGCTAAAAACTCATAACTTCTGTTTAGGATAAATGACTTTATGAATATGGTTTGATTTAATGATTGGATTAATTTAATTTGGTAATTTTTTTTTGTTAAGTTTGTCAAAGAACCTTATGTGTTAATTACAACTATTTTCTGTTAATTAACCAGCATATTAAGTTGCATGAACATCTCTTAATTGCTAGCCTCATATGATTTGTGTGAAAACATTGTTATATGCCTAGGAATAGCGAACGTGAAACTAGGGTTAATTAGAAAATAGGTAAATTAATATGTGAGCTTGTGTGACGAACCATCAACAAGTGGTTAATTGAATTAGCAATTTGATTAGCTACTACAAGTCTTACTTAACCCGAATCAATAAACTAGAAAATCTATTAGTTTAATCACTTGATCACTGCTTAAATTGATTTGTTTTCTACGGATTAGTAATAACGAACGTGAACCTAATCACACTAATCGGTAGCCAATGCTAATTAATCCATTGCACTTGTCATAAAATCAACCATATGAATAAATGATTCAAAACCTAAACATAAGTCTTTTCCATTATTGAATTTAGTTTATTTTCGTTTGCTTAGCTGTTAGTTGCTTATTTGAGTATTAGTTAAGTACTTAAGTTTCTAGTCTTGCAAAACTAGAGAAAACCCTTTATTTTATTGCTTGTGTTTAGATAATATTAGTAATTAGCTTAATTGCCGTTCCCTGTGTTCGATACCCTGCTTGCTAAACTACACCACCAATCGATAGGTACACTGCCTTTTGTGTGTCTAATTTATATTAAAAAGTATGAATAAAACTAGTGCATTCCACACACATCATTGGGATGATGAGATCTCATAAAGTCTGCAACTTTATGAATATATGGGACATTTGGTATACTTTGTGCCTTGGATTTGGAGTTTGGTTAGGTTTTCAAGCCATGCATGAGATTTAGGTCATAAACCCTAATTTTGACCTAATATGGGTGCAAGACATGCATTGGACATGCATGTCTATAAAACACCAACTTTTAGGTTAGTTTTGGTGCTAGAATCACTTCTGGAAAGGATGGATTTGGGACTTTATGGAATAAGTGCTTATTGGTTAAGTCCTTGCATTATTAAGCCATTTGGGACTTAGAGAATTGGGCTTTGGACCTTGTGGGTGGTCCTAATGGATAAAGTTGGAAACTTTATCCTTTTAAATCACATTTTGGACCAGATCTGAGCTTTAGAGCTCTTGGAATCGAAGAAAACAGCTTAATGCATTAAGCTGTTTGGAATCCCAGCTACACCGGCGTGGGCACAAGTCACCACAGCGTGTCAAATGGGATTTTCCCTGACTGTTTGGTTGTATGCAGGCCGCGATGTAACATCCGTCAAAAACAATCACATGTGATTATACCAATCATGTAATGTGATTTTGTCAAAACAAGTAATGTAGTAAACTCACTATGTATTTCATGATAATTCTAATATAAATATGAACTTTCATACATACTTTATAGTATAAATCAAAGTATACGTCCATACGATTCCAAAAAATATAGAGAACATCTAAATCTGACTTTGCGTGAAGAAGTTATGATAAACCGAACACTATAAATCTCTATAACAAGAGGAATTTAAAATAGGCTTAGAATTAGCTATTGGAATCTAATAGAGAGTTGTAGTACTCAGAATTACCTACGTGTGGATATAAAGAACGTCAAAAAACGGAGTTCGTATGCAAAAGTTATGACCTTCCGAAGATGCAGCTGTCTTAGAGCATGACACGTGG